CTCTCTTCTTGTTTCTTTTCTTTTTCCTCCAACCACTGCTGTAATCTCTTTTGTTTATTTTGTTGTTCCAAGCTGCCACTGTTGCAGGTTTTCTTGCCACTGCTGTTGTCTCTCTTCTTGTTTCTTTTCTTTTTCCTCCAACCACTGCTGTAATCTCTTTTGTTTATTTTGTTGTTCGAGCTGCCACTGTTGCAGGTTTTCTTGCCACTGCTGTTGTCTCTCTTCTTGTTTCTTTTCTTTTTCCTCCAACCACTGCTGTACTGTCTTTTCTTGTTTATTTTCTTTCTCCTCCAACCACTGCTGTAATCTCTTTTGTTTATTTTGTTGTTCGAGCTGCCACTGTTGCAGGTTTTCTTGCCACTGCTGTTGTCTCTCTTCTTGTTTCTTTTCTTTTTCCTCCAACAACTGTTGTAATCTCTCTTCTTGTTTCCTTTCTTTTTCCTCCAACAACTGCTATAATCTCTCTTCTTGTTTATTTTGGTGTTCGAGCTGCCACTGTTGCAGGTTTTCTTGCAAATGCTGTAATCTCTCTTCTTGTTTCTTTTCTTTTTCCTCCAACAACTGCTGTAATCTCGCTTCTTGTTTATTTTCTCGTTCTTCTTGTTTCTTTTGCTGTTCTTGTATTGCTGCCATCAAATCTGCTAAGCTGTAGTTTGATTTGTCGCTTCTCGTTTCCATTTTTTTTCCATCCCACTCTCTGACACCAATTTGTTACATCTCCTTGGTTATTTAATTTTCAGTAACTTCGTTCCAACGAAACTTTAGCGACACAAGTCCTTTCTTAAATAAAACTGGTTTATTCTTTCTGAATACAACTTTTCGATACACTTAATTTCAACAGTCGCGCTATAACAAACGCTATAATTCACAACGAACGTCTCACGTGCTCGACTCAACAATATTCTCTCTCTGTCAGCAGTTCAATTACACATTGTTGCCGTCACGTTGTGACCGTCTTATATATGCATGACTACCCCATATCTAGTTGTCTCCCGACGCTTCATGAACGTTCTAGAAGCGCGTGGCGTGTTACTATTGTCACGTGACCTCCGCTGTCGTAACAATATATTATTTTATAACAAGTGGACTATGAGCTGTTTCTTTATTGTTAAAATTTGTTTCAACAAGTCACAGACACCTACTGTAAAGAATTCAGCCCCATAAATCCACACATATATAAAACCTGAAACTAATTTAGCTTCTTATCAGTTCTTACCTCAACTCTGATGAGATTACAATTACTTATTTTCACAGTATTTTAGTTATTACATTTATATATTAACTTCTCTTTACTGGAATTAGAAATAACTTTTCATTCTAATGAGGTTATAATCAACTCTTACCGTTCCTTTGCTGATGATAAAAAAAGTATCACCATGTGCTCCTTGTCTAATTATATAATCACCCATGTTGTATGTCATCTGTAGACAAAATAAATCAAGTCAGTAAATCT